ATATACGAGAATCTCAAGAAGTCCAGTTAGATTTCTATAAGAATATTTGAAGTGGGTTTAAGATTAGGTAGCATTTCATGTCTCAAGTGGGTTTTAAGAAGAATATTTGACTGATCTTTGACTATATATAATAAGAAAAAGGCAAATGTGCAATTCTCAGTTGAGGTGCGTGCATTAATGAATCCAACCGACTTACCTGACAAAAATCTATATGGTTTTTAAAGCAAATATTAGCAAAAAATCTATATGGTTTTAGAGTTGGTTCTTAAACATTTACGTATTTAAAATTATTATGAAAAAAACAAAACATATAAAAACCATGCCTAATCTTTTGTTGGGTGGTACTTTTAGAATTTTCTTAAAGAATACTATGAAATTTTTGTAGAACAAAAGTATAAAAGATTGTAGTTTTTTAAGATGTCCTTAAAATTAGTTACTTCTTCTCCCAAACATTCAAGGAAATTGATTTCTAACTGTATCTGGAAAATTTACAATACTGTAAATAAGCCCTGATTATAAAGATCAAATGAAACTCCAACAACAAGATTGTTGTTAAAAAGTCTTTATATCAACATGTGCTTAGTTATTGCTTGAGCCATGATCAGTGAATTTAGTGTGCTCTCTCTAAGTTGGATCACTTGTTCTCTGGAGCAGGAATGCTTGTGTCACTCGAATTCGACATAACTGAGGCCGATGCAGGCACGACTGAAGTTTCCTGATGCAGATTTTCTGAGTGTATTGACAACCCTGAGAAGTCACATATAAGTTTGGTGTTAGAATTTCTTCAGGAAACAAGAATCATACGGGTTTTCGACTAACGGATTTGTATCTAGAAAGTTGGAATTCAATTCTCAGTCTCTTACCATTTGGTAAAGACAGCTAGATTGCAAAATTTTGGGGATGAAGAGCAGAGAGATTAAGAGTGGTGCTAGGTTTTACTTACTAGGTAAGGTCGCTTTCACGAATCCGTCCTTCATTAGACGAACAAATCTGAAAAGATTATTGGTACCATTCAGTTCCTGAAGCAGCTCTTCGATGTCATTCAATTTCGGGTCACAATCCAATACTGATGATCATATAAAGACAGGGGATTAAAAACAGAGTAGCTGTTACGAGAGAGAGAGAGAATTGTAAACACTAGTGAAATGTGATCGATGCTACACAAACAAGATTTACTCACGTGTGTAAAAGCCATCACCGTAGTGCACTGTGAATGAAAATTCGCGACTCGGATTGTTTGCATCGATGTTGACGAATGTGAATTTAACTCCTGCAATAGATGCAAAACAGCAAGATAAGTGGTTAAACTTACAAATCACCAGTCTCGGAATGTCTTCTTATTACCATGTCCAGCTTCAACGTCAAAACCAAGAACCTGATTGTACCACGAGATGGCTTCTTGGATATCTGCTTCACCTTCAATGACTTTGCCAGTATTGTCAGTGGATGCCGATAAACCTTTATCGGATGAATCAAACAGAAATCAATTAGCAATGGTCTTCAATGTCGTAAGTGTGATCTCTAACAGTATTGAAACAAAGTCCAATAACATATATCACTCTCTCATCAATTGTAAGATATAGTACCTTGTAACTGTTGAGAGATAATTGCCTTATGCTCATCTCTCTTAGACCTTTGTAAGTTCAAGGTTCTTCTAAGCACTTCAATTCTAGATTGTGTAGCAGTTAACGAATTGCTTATCTCGATTTGCCTAGCCTCTTTACGGTTCTTCACTGCAACATAAAAAATTCGACATGATACTGCAAAGTTATTATAGCATAAAGATGCAATACAATCCTTAGATACAATTTCCCCTGCAAATTTGGTGTGTAAACACAAAGAGACCAAAGATGTTCAGAACCAAAATACCTGACAAAACTCTAACGAGCTCATCTTCTGCTTCACTCATATCGGCTTTAACCTTTGCTAATTCCACTAACAAGC